ATTTATATCAGATATCATAGGATACCTTTCAATAGATGAGAATCAAAAGAATCTTGAATCAAACCTTTTTCAATTAGACATTTTATCATCCAAGGATAAAGACTATTTGCTAAATAGTGTAAGAAAAATCATTTAGATAATATCTAAGATTCTCAAAATAATTAAAGTTAGTGATTTTAATAAAAATAATTATTCATCTCAAAAATACTTCAAAATTAAAAGAAAGATAATGAACAAAATTTCAGAGAATAAGAGGATCATATCATTTTTTAAATTTTTAGTTCAACTTACAGCTATTGATAAATCCTTCATTATATGCGGATCAAACTCCTTGCACTTAATGATTGAAATGAAGATTGATTTAAAGAACTAATGCTTTCAAAATATTAAAATTTATAATACTTCTTTAATTGGAGGTAATTTTTTCAGAAGCAATTTGAGTGGATCTGATTTTAACAATGTGGATATTAGTGGAATGAATTTGAGTGGAGCGCTACTCTTTAACTGCAATTGGAAGAATATTAAAATACTTGAATTAAATTAATTAGAATGTCGCTTATATGATGTTCGATCAATTTGTTTCTCTCCAGATGGTAAGACAATAGCATCTGGTGGTAAAGATAATTCTATTTGTTTATGGGGTGTTAATAGTGGATAATAAAAAGCCAAATTTGATGGACATCATTATGCAATCTACTCGGTATGCTTCTCTCCTGATGGTACTACATTGGCATCTGGAGGTGATGATAAGTCTATCTTTGTGTGGGATGTTAAGACAGGTTCATAAATAGCATAATTGGATGGTCATTGTAAAACTGTCTACTAAGTATGCTTTTCTCCTAATGGAACAACATTAGCATCGGGTAGTCAAGATAAGTCTATCCGTTTATGGGATATTAAGACAGGAAAATAAAAAGCAAAATTGGATGGTCATTGTAAAACTGTCTACTCAGTTTGCTTTTCTCCTAATGGAAAAATATTAGCATCTGGTAGTCAAGATTATTCTATCTGTTTATGGGATGTTAATACAGGATCATAAAAAATAAAATTAGAGGGTCACGATTTTGAAGTGTTATCAGTCTGTTTCTCTCCTGATGGTACAATATTAGCATCTGGAGATGGAAATGTAAATTCTAAGCATGAGCGCAATAACTCTATTCTGTTATGGGATGTTAAAACTGGATAATAAAAAGCCAAAATAGAAGGCGATTATTCTGCAGTCTACTCAGTATGCTTCTCTCCTGATGGTACTACATTGGCATCTGGAGGTGATGATAAGTCAATCCTTATATGGGATGTTAAAACAAGATCACAAATAGCAGAATTAGTTGGTCATTCTAAAACTGTTTACTCGGTATGCTTCTCTCCTGATGGTACGATATTAGCATCTGGTGGTGATGATAAGTCTATCCTTGTTTGGGATGTAAAGGCAGGATCAGAAGAATACAATATTGATGGTCATACGAGTTCTATCTTTTCAGTATGCTTCTCTCCTGATGGAACAACATTAGCAACCAGTAGTGTGATTATGCCCATCAAGTTATGGAATGTTCAGACAGGATCATTAAAAGCCGCATTATATGGTAATTCTTATGGAATTCAATATTTATGCTTCTCTCCAGATGGTACTAAAATAGCATCTTGTACTCGAGATAATAATATCCATTTATGGGATGTTAAAACAAGACAATAAAAAGCCATATTATGGGGTCATAGTGACTGGGTTAACTCTGTATCCTTCTCTCCTGATGGTATAACATTATTTTCTGGTAGTAGAGATAAGTCGATCCGTTTCTGGGATGTTCGGGCTGGGTTATAAAAAGCCAAATTGGATGGTCATACTCATTGGGTAACTACAGTATGCCTCTCTCCTGATGGTATTACATTAGCATCTGGTAGTATGGATGATTCTATCCGTTTATGGGATGTGAAAACTAGGAAAAAAAAAGCGATATTGAGTGGTCATAGAAATGGAATCAGATCAGTTTAGTTTTCTTCTGATGGTAGTATTATATATTAAAATCAAAAAATTTATTCTCTCTTTTTTTATTCGAGACATCAATATCTTCAATAAATTTAAGTAAAGAATTTTTTCACTATTTAATATTAACCTCTATTAAATTTATTGACGATAAAAAAATATTGCAAAAAATATTCTGGTACTTAAGATAAAGAAGAATCTCGTTTCAAAGATTAAAAGATTTTTGAGTAATTTTATAAAATTAGTTTAAACATCTATACAATTGCATCTGGTAGTATTGATCACTCTATCCGCTTATGGAATTTTAGGACAGGATAATAAATAGCCATATTATGGGGTCATCATGATTGGGTGAATTCGGTATCCTTTTCTCCTGATGGTACGACATTGGCATCTAGTAGTGGAAATTCTAATGAAGGGGAAGATTACTCCATCCGTTTATGGGATGTTAAGACAGGATTATAAAAAGCCAAATTAAATGGTCATACAGAATCTGTCATATAAGTATGCTTCTCTCCGGATGGCACTCAATTAGCATCTGGTAGTTGGGATAAATCTATCCGTTTATGGGACGTCAAGACAAGATATGAGATTTAAATCTTAGACAAAATTCACAAAGATGTTGTAGTATAATTTAAATCCCCTCTATTTTAACAAAAATTTCTTTCTGAAAGTGTTTTATATTTTAGTAATTTTTAGCCAATCCTCATTAAACGGTAGACCTTATAACCAAAAAACCAATTTTGTTAGCATAAGGAGCCTTAATTTTAAACGGAGAATTCATCAACTATTAAGGTGTTGACTTGAGATAATTATTTAAATCTAAAGGAAGTTTATTTTTTGAAAATTAATTAGAAAAACAATAAAAGAATAATTGATTAGGATTATTAAAATAAATCAACTATTTATATTAATTTTTGGACTCTTAATTGTATTGTTAAACTTTACTGCCTATTTATTCAAATAATAAAGATTGAAATAGTTGGGTAGAGAAAGGAGATAAGGATAATTTCTTCTTTTGGAAAAGAGATGGTATCTCATTTAGCGACTTATGAACTTATTTTTGTTAACATAATTATCGCTGTCTAACTTCAACCTGTTTATAACTGTAAAGCTGATACTCTTAATTTTGTAATTAGCTATTAAACAACAATAACTATCAATCGAATTTGATGAAAATAAATTGAAAAAATTAACGATTTAATGAAGAGAGGAGCTTTAAATCATTTCACAATGTTTCAAATTTCCATTTAAAAAGATAAATATTTTTTCTTATTCATTAAAAAACTGATAAATAGTTTTGCTCTACAAACTAAATTTATTAACTTAATCAAATACAATTTACAAAATTAAATAAAATTGCCTTATTGTTTGTTTGCATTTCAAAGAAAATCATTAAAATAAATTTCAATATTGAAATTTTTACTTTCTAAATTCCTACTAAAATTAAAATTAAAAATAAATTTCTTTTTTATATGTTTTAAATAAGAAATAAAAGGAAATTTCATAACACCTACTAAATTCTAATAAATGTATAAAGATTAATTATAATAGTCAGAAAAGATATTAAAATATTTTTAGTAGTTAAAAAGCAAACTACAAATAAACAATAAGTTTTTTCAATAAATTAAGTGATATGTGTATTTATTAGATAAAGTTATATATAAAATAACTAGAAGAAAATGAAACTTCTTTCAAAACAATAATTGAAATAACTTTATAATTTAAATATCAAAATATTTTTTCATTTGAATAAGAACAATAATTAAAAATGTAAGAACCAGTATATTCAACATAGAGTTCAGATCATTTTTATAATATAATTGAAAGATAATTAGAATAGGATTAAAAATTGTAAATCGAGTTTGAAGAAATGATACAAGAATTGGCATTTGTCTTTTAGAAAATTAAATAAATACTTTTCTATCGAAAAAAGTGTCAATAAAGATGTTGTATGACTAATTCTTATCAAAATTTGAGAATAGTAAAATACTATTGGCTGAATAAGCAGAATTAATTTAGAAGTTAACTAACGAATAAAATAAAGTATCTACTGAATTAAAAAAATAAAAAAATAACAAATTAATAGTGAAAAAGAGAAATAAATATCTTAAACAAATTTAGAATGGAAGAAAACACACCTAGAAAAATTGAAGACTAATCTTAATTCCCACACATTTTATAATCAAATATCAAATGAAATCCCAAGTTAAATCATGTAAACTGCTGAAGAGTTCTAAAGTAATTAAATTAGGTTTTAAATCAAATTTTAATTTTAGACTAAGAATAGCGTTATTCAATTAGAGGTCGAAAAATAAAACAAAATAATCCTTATGTTCCTTATTATGAAAGTAGTTACAAATAGTCTTCAATTTAATATATCAATAACAAATTATTAAAATGTAATTTTTGTAATTGACTATTAGGCTCTTCAGGAGCTTGGAGATTAGCTATCATGCAACCTCCATTGCCTAAAGATAAAATTTCAAAATTTATTTTTAAGATAAAAGTAAGATTATTATTAATTAGGATGTATATTCTAATACAGGAGTTGGAATTTGCCACTTATCAACAGCTTAAGGCTATGATTTTTAAATGAATAGTTATTATTCATCCTAAAACCACAATGCTTATATTTTATGTGCTAACGGAGTTACTAATACTAATTTTACTTATTAGCAAGATAAGGTTATACTTTGTGAATATGATCCAAATAATTGTAGATAAAATGTATAAAATAATGTTATTGAATTAGAATGGAAATATATATTGTGAAAATTAATTGGGATTATAAAATATCTTATTAATAATTGGATTATTTATAATTTAATTTGATAATTTTTAAAACATTATATTGCAAGATCAAAGTTAAATTCAACATGTTTATTTAGGTTACAATTCTTCATATAAT